TTGAATTTTTTGCATCTCATCCTGTATTCAATATGTAAAATGGAAATATATCATAATTTTTCTTTTTTTAATAGTGGCCGAAAAATGGCTCGTGAGCTGAACATATCACAATATTCCATTCGGCAAATATGGAAAAATGAGCTCGGGGTAAAGCCATTGATAGTCAAAAGCCAAAAGTGCAATAACTTACACCGCAACAGAAAGAAAATAGACTCAAAAGAGCTAAAGTAGCTTCGCTTGGCCGAAAGAGGTGAACTGCCGAGTTTGGTTTTCTCCGATGAGAAAACATTCGTTGTCCAGCAGTTCGTAAACAAACAAAATGATCGTGTTTACTTGCCAAAGAGGTCAGCTGAAAATGTGCACCTTCGGTTGGCCACCGGACCTCTAGCACCGGCCATGGTGATGGTATGGGCCGCCATAACAACCGGAAGACGCTCTCGGCTCGTATTAATAAACTGTGGCATCATAATAAATGCCGAATATTATCGCGAAAATATTCTGGAGGGTGTATTAAAGGCTTGGGAACGCAAACATTTTGGCCGCAGACCTTTGACATTAAAACAGGACTCAGCACCATCGCACTCAGCACGCACCACCCAAAAATTGATGATGTTCCTCGCTTCATTTCCAGGACACAGTGGCCAACAAAATCTCCGGATACCAATCCGCTGGACAATTATGTCTGGAGTATTTTGGAAGCAAGGTTGGCACTTAAAAATACCAAAGTGTCGATCACCTCAAGCAAGCGCTTCGCCGGGAATGAGCCAAAATACCGCAGAGCAACATTCGGGCAGCATGTGACGGTTTCATTGGCTGTTTGAAGGCTATAATTCGTGCCAAAGGTGACAAATTCGAAGAAATCTGTAAGTATTCTAAAATAGCCGACATTTTTTGCTTTCATTCAATAACATTTTAAAAAAATTTTAGAATTATGGCGTTTGACTTTGTTTCAGTTTTTTTTTTTATCTCACCCTTTATACACATTTGTTTTATTCGGAGACTCAATTAAAATTCGATTTAGAACAATTCTTCCTTTGACATTTTCCCCAAAGAATGAAGTATAATGATTTGAAATGGATTGAAAACGTGTTATAGTTATAAACAAGTAAAAAAGCAGATTAGTTCAGGTCGAACTTTTAATGCCCTCCATCCATTGTGAAGGAATTTGAAAATAACGCTCAAATGAACCCTGCATAAGTAATTGTTTGTCATAAGCTGTAATACCGATTTCGAACTTCAAATACGAAATTTGGCTAAATAATGCCACAAATATCATCAAAATACCGAATAAAGGGAGGTACCGTTAAATAAGGGCTATATGAATACGTGGACCTGCATAGACAATTTTCCGTCATAGTTTGTAGTACCCATTGCGAACTTCAAATACGAAATTTGAAACAATTTCGGTGAATAATGTCGTTAAACCTAATTTTGGGAAGTACCGTTATATAGAGCCTATGCGAAGACGTGGGCGTGGTACAGTTGAAATTGGGCCATACGATATCGTGGACCTATATAGACATTTCTCTTCCAGGAGGTTAAGGGTTTAGGAAGAACTTCTGGTATGGATTTTTAGACAATTCCATTGAAAAATGTAGCTAAAATCATTAAAATACCGCATATAGAAAGGTACCGTTTTATGGAGGATATACGATATTGAGGACCTATGTAAACAATACCCCTTCAGGGGGGTGACGTACTCAGAAGGAACTCCTTTTGTGGATAAAGTAGGCTACTACCATCAAAATACCGAATATCGGGGTTACCGTTATGTTAGTCTTACCGTTATATTAGTCTTATCAGACAAAAGACTGATCTGTGCAAAATGTTAGCTTCCTATATTCATTCGTTTTGATTAAAACGGACGGACGGACGGACATAGCTAAATCGAAGGTGGGGAATATTCACAAATGAGTAGACAACAGATTTTATTATCATCCAAGTTTGAATTATATCGGTTACTTCCTTCGTTCAATATAAATCAAAAAATATTTCATGTTTATATTTTTACAATAGTTACTATTCAAAACTACGATAATTTTTACGGGAGATAAAAGGAAGAGCAGACCTATATTGCCCATTTTTGCACACCTTCTCTCTTCGCCGTTTGCCTATTTTCTCCCTAAAATATTTTTAGAATAAACAGCTTCATACACACACACACACACAAGTGAGATGTATTCATGTCTATTTGCACTAGCTATGAATTAAAAGAATAAATATTTATATGAATTTCATTAATGAAATATTACTTATGGCGCCACATGTGTATGTAGAATGATGATGATGTACATATGTATGTAGAACAACAACAAGAGAAAAAAAATAATGAAAACAACCAAAGAATAAACGAAAAATATGATCGATATCTGACTTTGCCAGCTGACTTTGTCTGGCTGAGTGGCTAGTCAGTCGGTGCGGCTACCTGTGATATCAGATGGAAAACAAACAGTTTTTTATTTTATTTTTCATCCTCTGCTGCCACGCTGCCATTCAATATTTGCAGTAATTGTTATTATCATTATTATTTTCATATATAAACCGCAATATTCTCAAATATGGCAAAATCAATGAAATAAAAAAAAGTATAACGACGATTCATTAAATGCAATATTAGACATTTGTTCACACCAAAAACAAATCGCTATACATAGGTATAGAAAAAAGTAAGTACATTTTTTTAATTAATTTAATTTAAATAATTTTGTTATTATAAAGAAATTGGTACTATAAAACTAAGAAAAAAGTACTCACTATAGAAGAATCTCATTGGCTAGGTTCTGATTTCTCAGCCACTGTTAGATATTTTTGTCCAAGTGAAAATATGCGTAAAAATTGGCGCCAATATTGTTTTACATGTGATACGGAAATGATTATCCCATACGTCCTTTACCGGTCTAGTTCTTATATCTACTTCTCTGGGTTGATTTTTCCAAGTCTACACACAACCAGTCTAAGTCTGACATCGCACACAACCAGTCTGACCTAAAGCCGAATGAATGCATAATCGATTTTTCAAACTCCTAAGCAATATATATATATATATATATATATATATATATATATATATATATATATATATATATATATATATATATATTCTTAATCAGCGTAAAATTCAAAGTCGATTTAGATATGCCCGTCTGTCTGTCTGTTGTAATCAAGCTTCCAAACGAATTGACATAGAAATCAAAATTTCGCGCACATGTGTATTTTGTCAGTGGGTTATCCCCCTAATATATCTGTACCTCCCGATATTCGGTGTTCGTACGATATAGATAACATTTTCCGACACAATTGTTAAAAATTCGATACTTTCTCTCATGTGTCAGAACATTTCCTATAATGGTCCTCGTTTTCCCTTGGCCCCTCAAGTTTTTTGGTGAGAATTTTCCAGAAAAAAAAAGATATTCGTGATGGAATTCAAGCGTGATAGTGTGATTTCTTTATATTTGACTGGAAAACTACAAGTGGCTATCGTTAGAGCACTCCAGCATTTAAATGTGAATAAATCTTTTGTGTCTCGTACCATTTCTCGTTACCGTGATACTTGTAGAGTAGCCCGACGTCAAGGAAGTGGACGGAAGAAAACAGCCACATCGGCAGAAACGGTTCGAAAAATAAAGAAGCAACTTGATCGAAATCCGCGTCGCAGTGGCCGAAAAATGGCTCGTGAGCTGAACATATCGCAATATTTCATTCGGCAAAAATGGAATGAATTCCAAAAAGTGCAAGAACTTACACCGCAGAAAGAAAATAGACTCAAAAGAGCTAAAGAGTTGCTTCTCTTGGCCAAAAGTGGTGAACTGCCGAATTTGGTTTTCTCCGATGAGAAACCATTCGTTGTCCAGCAGTTTGTAAACAAACAAAATGATCATGTTTGCTTGCCAAAAAGCTCAGGTGAAAATGTGCACCTTCGGTTGGCCACCAGAATTCTAGCGCCGGAAATGGTGATGGCGTGGGCCGCCATAACAGCCGATGGTCGCTCTCCGCTCGTATCAGAATAAAGCTGGCATCAGAATAAAGCTGAAAATTATCGCGAAAATATTCTGGAGAGTGTATTAAAGCCTTGGGCACGCAAACATTTTGGCCGCAGACCTTCGACATTCCAACAGGACTCAGCACTATCGCACTCGGCGCGTGCCCAAGAACGGTTACAAAATGAGGTTCCTCCGGATACCAATCCGTTGGACTATTGTGTCTGGAGTATTTTTGAAAGCAAGGTTGACACTAAAAAATACCAAAGTGTCGATCACCTCAAGCAAGGGTTTCGCCGGGAATGGGCTGCAGAGCAACATTCGGCCAGAGTGTGATGGTTTCATTGGCCCTTTGAAAGCCATAATTCGGGCCAAAGGCGACCAATTCGAACAAATGTAAACTTATTGTAAAATTTGATGCTATTTCCGAAATTTTTGCTTTCATTCAAAAAAATTTAAAAAAATGTAAAAATTTTGGCGTTTGACTTTATTGCAGTTTTTTTCTCACCCAGTATATAGACATAAATGCACTAAAAAATCTGATTGGATCGCTTTATCGGTAAATGTATCATTTTAATTTTCTCGATCTATATTGTTAATGTGATCTATAACATTATGTTACAACACGTTTTTACAGTGCAAAAGAAAACCGAGAATTTCAAACCATAAACAATATTAAGTTTTTTTGCCACAAAACACATGTTGTACGTATATCATCTCTATGGGAAACATTTTCATTTCTAATTTAGAAAGTTGGAATTTTGATAATAAAAATATATCTTAACTGATAATATCTTAATATAAATTATAATTTTTTAAATTTTAATATAATAAAATACTATTCCGCCAGATTGACATGTTTATCAATTTTAATCTAGATCAATAATTGATATTTTACATTTTCCACAAACTTAAAATCAAAATGTTTCTCTTGAATTCTCAGGCCAACAAACGACGATGAAAAAATGAACACAAATAGATACATATTTGTACATACAAAAATAAGATAATTATTTTACACACCAGCTTTTCACAGTTGAAGTAACAATTGAAACACAAAAAAAAAACACTCAAAATTGTATCTTGATTTAGTTTATTTTATTGCTTTTCACGGTTTAGTGAATCATTTTGTCTTATAATTGCAAAAAAACGCGAACAGCCGACGGGGATAATTGCAGCGGCGCGACAAATCACAAAAAAAGCGGCGCAGAACACAACGTTTTGTTTAAGATTTTTCTTAATTTGTTATTTTTAAACTTCTATTAAAATACTTTCATAAATTCTTCAAAATTTCACAGAGATATTTTTTTCTTGCAAGACATTTTTAGATATTCACGTGGTCCACCAAACACAATACAATGTCGCCGACACATCGTTGTTGTCGCACATTTTTCAGAATTAAAAAAAAAAAAACGAAAATAAAAATAAACAACAAAATCACAAAAACGAAACAAACAAAAATAAATCACTTTTCCTCCTCGAAAACGTTTTTGTACACAAAATGTTTTATTTTTTCCTATTTTATTTTTCGTTTTCAATTGGCCAAATGAAGCCTTAACTCTGCTGCTCCACTATTCGCATGCAGTTCCGATTAAAGTGCGCGCCCGTGTTCGCTCGTCGTTCGTTCTTATCCATTGGATACACAAACTCAAACTGAGAAAATATCGTAAATAACTGGAGAATTTAAAAGAGTCCATCATCACCGGCGCAGCGCCATCATCATGGATCAATCTCTGCTCTACAAAATTGTTTTGAGTTGTGTCGTTTTTGTCGTCGTCGTCGTCCTCATCGTTGGCGTATTGTGAGCAAACACCTCTTCGTTCGTGTGCTTGGATAGTTTGTTTTGATTTGGGGGTTTTGTCTTTTCGTTTTTTTTCTTTGTTGGGGCTTCCCTTTACTGCCGGTTGTTGGCTGTGGCGTAAAACAATCTCAATGATCTCGGCTAACCGGCGAACGTTCGACAACAACATTGTTTGGATCACAACACGAGCGAAAAAGCACGATGTTTTTTTTTTTTTTGTTTTTATTTGGGGGTTGCTGTGTTGCCACTTGTTTTTGAACTAAATTGGTAGGTGTAGAAAAAATATCTTTCAGGTACAAATGCACTGAATGACAGTTCAATTAAGAGACGATGTGAAAATGTGTATTCATATTTTTTCATCAACATCCACAAACAATTCATGTGATAACTTAAGAAGTAACAATAATTCTTGAATCTCTTTAGCATTATTTTCGTTTTCTAAGTTTATTTATCAAATACATGTGAGTGGCTCAGCAATAGGTATGTCTGGTTACTTTTCCTGCAGGAATTGTCCAACAACATCTTTCTGAGAGAGTAAGGTACTTTTATTCTCTTTTGCAAGGAAATTGAGAAAAGTAAACAGACGGTATTCCTGCAGAAGCTTGCAACTAATCAGCTGATTTGTCAAAACAAACCAATTTGTCCCCCATTAAAAGAATTAAACGAAAGGAACCATCACCAATTTCACAAGTTTTATAAATAAAAAGGAAATTGACAATAAAATAAAAATATGAGCAATAAAAGGAAGCTAGATTTGATGTATTCCGCGGAATTCTTTAAACCTGTTGCTAATGGCATTTGTCTAAAAATGTTGGAAATAGTCTTTTATTTTCTTATTACATATTAATATTTATGTTTTTACATCTTGTAAAGTTGTTCTCCAAAAAACAATTAGTCTTGCTAATTCCAAAACAATATTTTCAAATTAAAATCACAAAAAGAAATAAATAAACAATAGAAAACATCTGATTGAATGTCGATCAATGAGAAGAAGAAGAGCTGCAAGAAGAAATTTGTCCAGCAAGAATTTGCAAACTCTCACTGAAAGAACTGTCAAAATTTCTCTCTCCAACAGCTCTCTTTTGCAGAACTTTTGGGTTAACAGACGACTTCCAGTAACAATTTGTAACAATTGTTACAAATTTTAGGGTAACCAGACACACCTAATGCCAGCATAAATCTCTCTGCAAGAATGTTTCTATATACAGGGAGAGATAAAAAAAAACTGCAACAAAATCAAAAGCCATAATTTTTACATATTTTTTTTTTAAATTTTATTGATTGAAAGCAAAAAATATCGGAAATAGCATCAAATTTTAGAATAAGTTTAAATTTGTTCGAATTTTCCACCTTGGCACGAATTATGGCCTTCAAACGGCCAATGAAACCGCGTGTGAAGCCACACGCTGCCCGAATGTTGCTCTGCATTATTTTTGCCCATTCCCGGCAAAGCGCTTGCTTGAGGTGATCGACACTTTGGTATTTTTTAGTGCCACACTTGCTTTTCAAAATACTCCAGACACAATAGTCCAACGGATTTGTATCTGGAGATTTTGGTGGCCATTGTGCGCCGGGAATGAAGCGAGGAATCTCATTTAGTAACCATTCTTGGGTGGGGCGTGCTGAGTCCCCTTCCATCACCACCATCACCAAAGGTGCACATTTTCAGCTGACCTCTTTGGCAAGTAAACACGATCATTTTATACACCACTTTCGAATCAACTCTTTAGCTCTTTTGAGTCTATTTGCTTTCTGTTGCGGTGTAAGGTTTTGCACTTTTTGGAGTTTCAATGGCTTATCCCGAGTACATTTTTCAATATTTGCCGAATGGAATATTGCGATATGTTCATCTTACGAGTCGTTTTTCGGCCGCTGCGACGCGGGTTTCGATCAAGTCGCTTCTTTATTTTTCGAACCATTTCTGCTAATGTTGCTGTTTTCCTCCGTCCACTTCCTTGATGTCAAGCTTCGCTACGAGCGATGGTACGAGACACAAAAGATTTATTCACATTTAAATGCTGGAGTGCTCTAACTACAAGCCAATTGTGGTTTTCCAGCCAAATATAAAGAAATCACACTATCACACTAGAATTTCATCACGAACAACTTTTTTTCTGGAAAATTCTAACCTAAATGCTTTTGTACGCTTGTAAACAATATAATGAGCTGTCACTGGAATAATTTTAACAGCTGTTGGGCGAATGGCATAGAAATGACAGCAGTCTGAAGTTGGTTGCAGTTTTTTCATTTCATCCTGTTGCTATATTTATGATAGAGAGTAACTCAATTTATGTCATTGGGACAATATTTAAATAGGATATATCACATCGACGATTTATTTGAAGCTTTTTCAGGTTCTCCCATAATAAGCGACCTTCTGAAAAACTTCTATCTGGAGACGATCTAATGAATAAACTTTATATTGGGAAGGCCTAGACGTTTTCTTATCTCCCAAAATATATTCTAGAAATCTACTGGCAACACCAATGCACTAATTGTGCTTCTCTGTCTCTCTTTATCAATGGAAAGTTGTTGCCGCATTGACATTTGTTGCTCGTTTCAATGCAGTTTTTGCACATGGTTGCAACTCAACTCCCAATGTTTGCAAAACAATGTTGGCCAGACGACAATGTTGAGTAGAGAGAAAATCAAATTTGCGCTTCTCAATATCTTATACATATTTTTTTACAACAGCATTCATTCATAATTCATTCCAAAAGTCTAGTTTGTCACTCCATTCCAGCCATTGGCTTACTCATTTGAGTGTACATTTTATAAAGCAGTTTACTCTTTTTTGAGAGCGAAAGAATAAGACCAGATATGTGAGCATTAAATGAGAGTAGGAGACGGATAATTGTTGAGACGTTACTTTTACTGGACGTTTCTGCAGCGTCGATTGGCGGCTGTTGTTGTTTTTATCAAATAATTAATGTCAATTTAGACTTCAGTCTGACACTGGCGCTAACTTTTGTGTTTTGTGTACATGGCGCGTTGTCATCGGCGTGTCGTTTTTTATTTTTTTCTCTTGTTGTGAACATGGTGTTCGTGTTCGTGGTGGTGTAGACGCCGTCAACGTTTTTTTGTTTTGTTGTTATTTTTATCTGTTCAACAACTTTGTAGCGCCACTAAGATTGTCGCATGTTATTATTATTAGCGTTGCGCTAACGTCGTAAGTGATTGAAGGGACATGTAGTGTATGTTCGTCAGCTTGATTGATATTACTATGACTTCGAAGGCTCTGTCTAGGAACAAACGAATAGGTACAATTGAAGAAATAGTAACCTCGACATTGTGTATGGACCAAATGGACATTAGGTTGGGCATAGATGGGGGAGAGATTTAATATAGGTGTCAGGAAAAGAATTTAAGTGTTTTTTTTTTAATGAGAAAATTGATGTTTTATCAACAGATATATCACTTCCAAAGGGTACGAAAATAAATGGCTAACATCAATATGTGCCTATAATGTGGACGATCCTAGGTTGTGCCGAATCAAACTACTAGTACACAGAAATTATTCTGCGAATAGAACGATCTAAATTCCATCCACCTCGTTCGTTCATATGGCGGATCTGTTTTTATCCCGTTCATATTGTTCCATTGGTTCAACGATTAACTTCAGTTCCCTTGACGTACTTTTCAAGACACAGTTTGGTGCGATTTAAAGGTTCGTGGCATCAGTGGGCAGTACTTCTTCAAGGAAGCTGCGAATTATAATGTATATCTGAATGGGTAGCCCTGCCGTGAGATGATATCCAACTTTTTGCTGCCTAAAATGTAAGAGTGACACATACAATACAGCATGCGTAACAATTAACTTTTTTAGATGCGAGTGTGATGAAGATTTTATTTCACGTTCAGATCCTGCAATCTAACGTCTTTATACTATTTTTTTGTTGGGGCTATGTTCAAGCGCATGTCTAAAGAGTCGAACCCGCTTTATTGACGCATTGAAGCATTTTTTCGTGATATACCGACCGAAATGTTGGATAAAGTATGGCTAGGCGAATGGACCATTTAAGACGCAGATTCGGTCAGCATCCTCAAGAAAAAAATCTTCAGATCAAATTATATGGAGCGTACTGTCGCATCAAATAAAGATTTCCTGCATTATTCTAAATTTTTCCTATAGCTCTTAAAAAATTGACCTCCACAAAAGGGCAAAATGTTATACGGGAACATGGCAAAAGCGAGGACATAGTGGAAATAGCTGTTTCACTTTAAATGAAAAATATCACTCTTTTATTTTTATTTATCTTAATACGAAATTTTGTTTTCCGCATGGAAACGATTTTTAACCAATAATTTTGGACCAACGGATATTGTTTAATTTTTTCGGCTTTGTGGTCAGTATATCTGGAAAAACCATGGGATTTGAGTGTCCACCACGACTTTTTGCATTTAGTCCTGTTGGCTTCTCCCCCAAATAGACGGAGAGAACTACAGTTCTCCAGAAAAACAATCTGTCATTAATTGGCAACCCATCGGACCATCTTCCCCCAATAAACAACATTAGAAGACCATTACCGGAAGTAGTATGGTCCTGAATTGAATGTCGCTTCAGAAGAACAGAATCTGCCATTAGCAATTTACATTACGCAATATGGAAAATTGGAAGTAGGTTTAACTAACGAAGCCAGACAATGATGACGGCAAAGGTCTGTGTTGAGGAACTACTCCTCTCTTTCAGCAACATAGTACCACAACATCGTTGTACCATCGTTGATGACCAACTTTTGAAACGTTGGGCGCTACTCTTGTATGGAATTACCGGAATAAGAAGCCAAAGCGTCTTAAAGGTCGCATGAATAAAACTACATGTATCGGTTTAGTAATTTAATTAAACGAAATGTGTTATAAGAACCTGTTCTCCATGCTGAACAGGCAAGCATGTAAGCAAAGTTTTGTATTGAAGAAGTACTCCTCTTTTTCAGCTACAAAATACTACAACATTATTGCCCCGAAAGCCGTTGATGACCAGGTTTCGAAACGTTGGGCGCCACTCCACAATGTTTGAGCAGGCCAAAAACATTACACCGGTCAGATTATTAACAGGTTGGGCGCCACTCTTTTGCGGAATTGCCGAAATAAGATAGTTTCGCAAGGTAAGTA